GTACAAAATATTCTAAAAGGCTTAATTTTAGAACGTTTTGTACATGGGATCCATTCGATTAAACTTTATATAGACCTTGGACTAAAAGCGAAAACTCTCACTAGAAACCAAACTTGCCCTTTAATTTCAAATAATTTCATGTGATATTCTGTTAGTATCGATATTAATCATCAATCGGAAACTGATGCTCACGGCAGAGTACATGACATTTGAATCAGACTCGAGGAGAAATGAATGACATTTTATTGTAATTTCATGTCAATATGAAATTTACGTCAAGATCAAAAAAAATATCTCTGTCTTCAGAAGCCGCAAAGATTTATTTTGGAGCGTAACTATATTTCGATATTCTTTTCCATGCGCTCCGGCCACCTTTCATATTTATGATGGATTATTTAAAAATGTTTGTTTATTTCTTTAAATGTTTAACATTTGTCGTAGAGAAACTTTCAAGAAATTACAAAAGATTCTATTGTTTTTCCCGTTGGACTCACTGAAACCGATGCCTTTGTTACTGATTATTACGGTCGGACTTCACGGTTGTTTATTTCTTTATCATAAATAACATACCATTTTACTACCTTCGTTATGATGGAAAATGATAATATAATTCAATATATAACGATAAAGATGTGTTTGACTGAAAGAAAATTTTAATATATTTTATTTATACAACGTAAAATTCTTAGAATTTTTCTTTTGCCTGAAAACTTTTTCTTTTGCGGGTGTATAAAGGATAATAATATAGAAAGGGCTCTTTAAAATACGTAAAAAACAATTGAATCAGTCATAAAAAAATGTGAATATTACTAATGTGTACTCAATATATTAAACCTTTCAAGATAAAAGGAGATTAAAGCAATTGCCATCAAATAATGATTATTATTATTCAACAATCTTTGTTTTGCACATAGCATTTATTACCATATTCGACATGTTTTCTCATTACCTTTAGGTGTCCTTAACTCGCAACACTGTTGATTTCTGACATTTTACTTAGAGGATTATTAATCAATGCCCCTCTGGGCTAGCCGGATCCCACGAGTTATAAACCGCCCTTATCGTTGGGTAGGGCCGCGCATGTGCTCATGCGTGCTTTACATTAGAGAGGAATGTCACCTACGGGTCATCGGGTTTGGTCCGGACCGTGACAAAAAATGTAATATATCAGTATTGCCTTAAAAACTGAATTGTTCGTGGTCAAGTTCAAAATCAAAATCAAAAATATATTTATTCACATAGACGCTTGCGCGTTCTTATGATATGTCAAAAATTTTACATAAAAATTAATACGTTCGTAAGTTACCACCGGTTTAATAACCTTACAAAGACCGCTTCACCTTTTTTTATAAATGTCGAAGTAACTAATGATGATAACTCCGATAATACTAATGATTTTGATGACTCCGTGGCGCAGTTGCCAAAGTATTTGCTTCGGCGTTGGGGGTCGTGGGTTCGATTCCCACACGGGACAACTATCTGGGTGTTCGTCCGCGTGAAATTTATGTTTGTAAAACGTCCTTATAACACAGGATTACGTTTTTTTTGAAAAGAAAAAAAATATTTGATTTAGATATATCCGTGGCGCAGTTGCTATTGCGAGTGTTGTGGATTCGATGACCACCTATTTCGACACTCAACTATTTGTGTGACCCATAGATAATTGTATCACACATGGATATTTGTCTACGTGAAATTTATGTTTGTAAAACGTCTACGATACAGGATTATGTTGTCATACAGTAAGGGCAACGTTTTAAACCATAAAAAAATAATTAAAATTATAAATGTTATGTTATCGGTCTTACGCGGCAAACAAAACGTTTTTGATACATATTTTCTCGTACAAATATACATTTCAAGTTAGTGCGCATATGGCTATCATAATCAAACGTGTCCAAGATAAAAGGCAACAATTAGATATTCTGCAAAGAGAAGCTATCAGTGTACACACCGGAAACGGCCATTGTATGCAAAATGAGATGGCTGAAATAAGGTAATTAAAAAAAAAAAAACACTAGCGTCGTATTGCCAATGCTGATGACAAATTTAATTTAAATTTATTTGTTATTAGTAGCCTTTGTGCAAGATTAGTTCCTGTTTTCCACTTTTTTAATGCTCTTTTATAACTAAAATTTGAGGTTTATAATCATAATATTCTGTCCCATGACACAAAACATCAGGATAAATTTTATCTGAAAAATAAACTTCCCTATTTTCATTGTATAGTTTCATTAAACTCCAGTTTATATTTGTTTTACCAGTTGCAATGAATACTATGTTCAATTTAATTCTAAAAACAGTATAGAAATTATATCAGTACTAGGTAAAATAATAACTTTGCAGAAAAGTTGAAATAATTTCTTATATTTACTTATCGTGTTTTTCGCTACGGGCTATATTTGATATTTTTAACTTCGAGGCTTTCAAAGACGATATTACAAACCAAATTTTATAGCATCCAATATAAATATTGAGTTTTGGTATAATACTGAGATTTTCTTTAATGTAATTTGACTTCTTAGAAAATATTATACTCATGGTTTATGTATGTATAGTTCTAAACGGCGCGAATTTACAGCGGATATATAGACACGTAGTGATTCCATACACGAATCAATACAATACGAATCAAATACATGCATCATTTATCATCAAAACGTGTTTTTTTACGATATTAAGTCTCTGGCGTTGAGTGAAAAGAGTAAAAAAGATCAAGAGTGAAAAAAAATTATTTCATTCCGTTAATTTTGTTTTGTTATTTTTATAATACTCTTGGATGGGTTGAAGACAAGACGACCTCCTTTAAAAATTAGTTGTGTAGACAATTGGTAAGTGTAATATGATATTTAGTAGGTGCTTGTAGTTCATTTGCTTAGCATATCTATTCCATACATTTCATGGTAACATTGTGGAGCGGTTACGAATTAATTAAAGATAAAAAAATAACATTCTTTATAAAAGAAAAAAGCCATTGTCACATTTCAATAGAAAGTAGATTAAGATTTTGAATTTGATTTAGATAATATAAAATTAATTTTATATTATCATTAGAAGAGAGCAAACAATAGAATAATTAATGTAACGTAGCACTATTTAAAAATGTAAAGTAACAAGAAGAGGGATTTATTTAAGTGTTTTTGTCATATCAGGATATAAGCCAAGTACCATCATAACGAAGGTAATCACGGTTCTCCTTCTAATGGCAAAACCATAAAAAGGTAAAATTTAGCACTTAAGATTGAAAATTAAAATATGTAGAAAAAGTGCGAAAAGATTGTCGCCGCTGTGGGAATCGAACCCACGTCTTCGGCATTCGCGGCATTCATTCTACATATTTTAATGTTCAATCTTAAGTGCAAAGATTAGCACTACAAACAAGGTAAAATTTAGGTTCAATTAGCATTTTTGTGAAGATCAGATTTTTCGATAAAATGTCTTGACGCAGCCCAGATAAAAAAAATCAATTGAAAGTCTAATTTCTCAGCCTATTAACAGTGAGGAATCGCGCCACCGAGAGTGTCTCGAACTCCAACCCCCCTCCCCCTCCCCCTTAAAGATCGACTGACCTGTCGTCTACCGGGGGTAGAAGATTCGTGTTCGGCGACGTTTGAAATACATAAATAATTGTCTGTTAATAATGTTTTTATCTATAAATTTATTTCCATTAAAATTCTTCTCGAAGTGGCGTCCGATTTGAAAGTTTTAACTTGATCAATATTAAGGAGAATTCGTTTGTATACCTTTGTGTCCCACATTAGAAGGTGGGAGCGAAGTCATCCTTTAGTCTTCTTATGTTTTTCAACATACATTATAATGTCAATGTTTCTTCTCCAACGATTTTATTTATCAGATAAATGCTATCTACAGAGATCCGATTGCGCCGTGACTGACTTCTGCTTAATACAATCTATTCGGCTTTTGTAAGATTGTCTTCGATAGTATGTCATTCCAAGGCCACATAAAATCAGTATATTTCTTTACTTTCAAGTTATACTTCTAAGGTTTAAGATGTCATATCGCTCTCCTAGTGGCTGTCCTTGGAGTACTATTATCTAAAATTTAACGGTGTAAAGTATTTAATCTGTAAATATGTAATTATCTGTAAAGATGAATTTTCTGACTTATTTATTTAATTTCCATTAATTGTTCGTCAGTTTCAAATATAGCAAGAGTTATAGAAACTGAAAGATTTAAGACGATTTTCGAGTGATGTGATTTTTTTTCCAAACAAAGGCCCATGGATATGGGAAATCTGTGAAGTAACGATGTTCAATATTTTAAAATAATAACCAAAAAATATCAGAAGGAATGAGTATCATACAATTATCCATACTTGCGAAATGTTTGTATTTAGTAATTAGACATACACACACACATAATATATATATATATATATATATATATATATCTCTGTTGGGCCACGCAACAGTGTTCACTATTGCACGAATGGGCAGTTCCGTCCGGGTAAGTACCACGACCTCACAGAAGACCAGCGTAAAGTAGAAGTGTTACACTTCTGCGTTTCTGCTGAGGTAGCTGGCCCACATTATTAAAAGGTGCCAACACATCTGCAACCTTTGTTGAAAATTTCCATGGGCGGCGGTTGTCAACTAACATCAGGTGAACCGCCAACGCATTTTCTCCTTTATCACATAAAAAAATATCTATGATATAAAAATTAACAATACGTTATTACTAGTATGTTGTGTTGAAAAGTTTCAGGGAGTTTCAAACTATAGTGTAACATAGATATTCAATTAAAAGTAATTTATTATTACACAAAGTTAATTTACCTTTTTATTTCACGTAACTTAGCAAGATTTCAATAAATCTAATAACAATCCAAATTGAACATAGTTTTATATAATATGAATTGTTTCAAAAGAACAACATTAGAAATATTCTCGATTTCCGTTAATTCCGAAATCTGTACTGCCGTTGAAATTTATCGTCTTTGTGTTTTAAACCACGTTTTATATTGTTTCAGATTCAACAAGATGACTCAAGAGATAAAACAAACGTTACCACCGGATAATTTTAACTCTACGTAAGTGATTTTTCAAAAGATGTAAATTAGACGCAAACGAAATTCATTCTCGTGTAAGGTTGTTCATTCAAATGTGTTGCGTAGATGAAGGTGGTGAAGGAAAAAATCCACTCAATAACAAGTATAGTCAAGACTTGTGCCGAGACTGTGCTTCCTTTAAGATTAATATTTGAATTTTGATTTATATTTTGATTCTGTTTTTCATCCAAAAAAAATTATTTGTCTTTTCCTATCATCTTAACTTTTGTAATATACATTGGAATTAAAACTCTGGGAAATTTATATAATATTACTTTTTGGTTACTTTTGATATGACTATGGACTAAGTCTAAACATGGGCATTACTAATCGTAAAATCAAATAAAAAAAAAAAAAAAACACGAGGACAGTTTTTCTTGAACGGAAAAATATCAACTTTCTGATCCAATCCTATTATTTTCGGCGTCGCCCTATTGTTTCGATTTTCTCAACACAGCATACGCGTGATATTTGCTCAGATAACAGATGAAACAATACCATATGCATAATTATTAAAGTTATTTAGATTTGGAAGCGGTTTTGGCTTTACGAAAAAACCGGGCAGGCGGCAAGTAGCTATATCGTTATTGTAGCAAAATTTCTGTTAATCTGCTTACCTTGAAAATTTCTATGCAATGACGTCATCGCAGTTAGTCGCCCAGAACGCTTTTGTATGAAAAACTCATTGAGAAATCATGAGTACTTGATTGTCATTGTCTTCACGGCTGACTTGCTATTTGTAAACATGGATACTAAGTAATATGATGGTGGAATGAGCGCATCAGTTACTACTACTTTATAATGTACTTGATCTATTCATAGATGAAGCTTTTGTATTATAATTGTGAAGACATTATATTATATCAATGAAAGGAGTTTATTGGATGAATTAATATTTATTAATTTAGCCCGTATGTTTCAAAATACACCGTCACCGTAAGCTGTTTCTAAAGTAACGTTGTGACTGTTATTTGTATAGCAATTTGTAATTATAACCGCTTTCATCTTGCTCATATTTCAGAGCTAACTTGACGAGTAACGCTGTATACCCGTCCACTCTCAGTATTTCATCAAAAGATATTAACGATGAGAAGGCTTACAATCCCTTTGAACATCGCGAAGTTGAACATCCAAATTCGTAAGTATCTACATTTTTATTGACATTTTTTCATTTAATGTACTGTAAAACAAATTAATACAATATAATGAATCAATAAAAGGACTGCAATCAATTATTGCGTGTAAATATTTTACGATTGCAACTGTTTCATCATGAATAAAAAAAAATAATTAACTAATTAAATGAAGCCCTTACCATTTGATTAATCAAAAATCAAAGACACTTAAATGTTACTTTTTTATAATTCCCAGAACAATCGGTTCAATTTTGCATCTACTCAAAGCGTGCCTCGGTACCGGCATCCTAGCGATGCCCGCAGCGTTCAAGAATTCTGGTCTCGTTACTGGTGTAATCGGAACGTTGATCGCTGGCTTCGTTTGTACGCACACCGTGCATATGTTGGTAAGCTGCGTAAAAATTTTAATACAATTTTTTAATGGAAAAGAAGGCAAACGAGACAGCGGGTCAGAGGATGGTAAGCGGACACCACTACCCATGGACACTTGCAATATCGGCATTCACGAATTTAGTTTCAGAGCCAGCACCATCAGCAACGATCTTGATGCACTTATGAGTAAGAAAATAAGTGATATAGTTGCAGAATTTCTCAGGAAGCCCGTAAGAAGTAATCTTAGAGAGAAGTACTTTGTGCCGAAACCTGATCGAAGGCTTTCGCTACGTCCAAACTTAACTTAGCACCAAGGTCCTCTCCCTTAGACTCAACTGCCTCAACCCATCGATGAGTTAGGTACACAAACCATGCTGACGATCGCTAACTAGCTGTTGCTCTTCAAGGTACTCAAGGATTGTCAATGTATCCACCAGCTCAAGCTATTTGTCATCCTCTTTCAGACAACCTAGTGATTATGAATTTTCCGCACACGTTAAGAACCAAAAATTTTTCAATAATCAAATAAAAACTGTTTTTTGTTTTCATCATAATGATCAGCTAATAATAAATAAGTGTTAATTATAAAAATAATGGACCTCATTAAAATAAAGATGGATCATTAACATAATAAGTGTGTTAAGTTTACACAATATACCTAACAAATTAGAGAAATGATTTGTAGTTAGTATACAGCGTGTCGTTACCATCGCGACAATAAATGAACACACGTCTAACGCTACTTGCCAATAATCATAAAAAAATATTAACGTTAAACATAATCCATAATTAAAAAAAAATATTTTTCAAACAAACTAATTAAGTGAAAAAGAAACAAAATTTGTAACATCCAATACAACTCGCGCCACAGCGTCGCAATACAAGCCTCTCCTTCTAACAGTATGTTTTGTCTCTTTTAAATTCATTCAACCCATTCATATGCTTTGTGACCTTTAGAAATGAACTTTACGTTACGCTTTTATAGGTAAGGGTGTTCTAAAATTCTTTGTTTTGGAAAATTTAATAACTCTGTAAATATCGATGTTTAAAGAATTTAAATGTTTAATACAACTTTAAAAAGTTATCCTTTATATGTGTGTTCATTTATTGTCGCGATGGTAACGACACGCTGTATGTTCCGTTATTACTCCAACTTTAAATACTCTAGGTTAGGGCATCACAGGAGCTGTGTGTTGTTGTGAAGAAACCTTCAATGGGCTTTGCGGAGACGTGCGGCGCTGCCTTTTCACACGGGCCCAAACCCCTCCGATCGTGGGGTGGAGCAATGAAGTACGTTCAGCACTAGATTTTTTATATCTTCATGTGATTTTTAACATAGTCAAGTTTACTATGATCATCACGATTTTCATAATTACCAGACCCAGAAAATGGTCCACTACTGAAATTAGGCCAAGTACAAAGATGTTTACATTAATTACGTAGGTTCTGAAAAATTATATTTTTTCAATTAATTTTTCACAGACTTGTAACGTTTTCCTTCAGTTTACATGCTTAAGCATAATTAATAATCCCGAGCCAACAATTCATTCGTAGATGTTCACTGTATATCCTATCAGAAACCGTTAAATTACATTTTTCACGTAATTCAGGTATCTTATTTAAATTTTGATATTATCCTTATTGACCCTTTCATCTAAAATAAAATACGGTGCTAAATAGTGATTAGTACAAAAAAAAAAAAAAAATACCAAACATTAAAATGGGTCAAAAATAATGAAATAAACTTATAAACTCAATTATTTTGAAAATCTAATTTCTTTTTATTTAAAAAAATAATAAGAGCTTTAAATTGTTACGTTTTAAGATTTATAATAATTATTTCTTGTACTATTACAGGAACTTGATTGATTATTCAATGGCTTTAACTTACTTCAGCGTACTTTGTGTTTACGTTGTCTTCATTGGATCATCGTTTAAAGAGGTACTTTTCTTTAAGCTAATAAGAACGGCTGCCAATCTGATTGTATTAATCTTTTTGATCCATGTCTGGTTTCAGTGATAATTAATCAGGATTTCACATCACTGTTAGACAAAAACATCCAATCTTTTTATAATTCCTTTGAACTTTTTATAATTCAGCTATTTGGACATATTTTTTATTCAAAATGGAAGCTATCATAGCGGACAGTCTTCTATGAGAGGGTGACAACGATTTATAGGAGTATATAAATCTTTGTATACTGGGCATAAATTTAAGTTTGCTCAAAGCCATTATATGCCTTTAACTATTCCTTAAAAATGCCTTATCCTTTTATGTGATAAAATATAAAATTCTCGTAAGAATTACTTTATCCCTAAAAATAGAATACCTGGAATATACCACAAATTGCTCGTCCACTATGAAAGCAATTAGTTTTAAGATGTCTTCTACTTATCTGCAGTTTATATTTCTTATTAACCTTGGTAATAATTATTTTTTGTTTACAAATCTTTTCTTAGTCTACAATAAAAGTAAATATTGTTCAGCCGTCTAGTTAATCTATGAAAATAAAAAATGCGTGATATGTTTGTACAGTTCGCGTCTTTTATTCAGCGCTATCTCATTAGCATTTTATTTAACTCATACGCATCTAGGCCGTTTTAAATATTCCGAGGAGTTTATTGCACTTAGCGATGATTGTACCTTTTTCGGGGACGTGGCCGTCGACGACATAATTATTTTGAATATGGATTAAAATCCGACTAAAAATAATCAACTCTCACGTAAAGAGTATACACGAATACAGATACTAATTTTTAATTTCTTACTCACACTTATCCTAAGGTTTTCGTATATATTTATATATTTATACATATGTTTATAAATATCATATCATAAATATTTACTGACAAATAATAATATACGTGTTTATTTATGAAATAATTTCTTTCTTTCATGTACACATTATATATATGTAGTATAAATATATCCCTATATTACAATTAATTGAAATAGAACTTTCTTTTTTTGAGGTACCTAAATATGAACTATGAAAAGGGTATACGGTATTTTTGTAATAAAACCAAATCTCAGTACTACCGCAGTGCAAATTACCACCTTGTCGACGGTCAAATGTTTCAAGTTATTTGTGTGATCAGTTGTAGATACTTCCTGTTTAATAAATCTCAAAATACGGACAGTGATTATTTTCAACTATGAAATCTCGTAATTCAATTTCGTTAACACTTCCAGGTCTTAGACGTATACATGCCGAGCCTGAACCTATCCATTCAGACATACTGCGCTTTGACATTGATACCACTGGTGCTCATCTGCCAAATCAGAAACCTGAAGTACTTGGTGCCGTTTTCGGCAATCGCCAACGTAATGATCGTATCGTATTCGCAATTACCATGTATTACGTGTTTGTTGATCTGCCACCGGTCAGCGATAGAGAAATGGTTGCGAAAGTGTCCCAGTGGCCATTGTTCTTAAGGTAAATTTAAAATACCTATATAACTATATATATAATAAGTTCACAACTTTTTAAATGACATTTTAACCACTTCAGATTTTGGATGAGTTTCAACCAAATTAGAAGAATATTGAATATTTTCCAAATTTTCTGGCATCTTAGGGATACATCGAAAGTTTATAAGTCATACAACAACAAGCACTAATTTAGTTTTTAAATTAAAAGAAAACCGGCCAAGTGCGAGTCGGACTCGCGCGCACAGGTTTCCATTATCTGTAAAAACGAAGAAAACATATCAGTTGCATGGGAGCCCTACTTAAATATTTTTTAAGTGGGGCTCCTATGCAGACAGGCAGACAGCGTAGTCTTAGCAATAGAGTCCCATTTTACTCTTTGCGTATGGAACCCTAAAAGAGCGCGTGTAAAATATAAATTAAAGTAAAACTTTTCCCTGAAATTATAAGAGTTCTAACGTTATTAACTTGATAGTAATATTTTAAATATTATTGAATTTGAATATTAACAATTATTATAACGACAAGCAGCACTAGTGGTTATATCACCGTCTGGGAACGCAGCCGAAATCCAAGTGGCCGCAGCTCCATGCTACCATGTGTCCCTTCGCTCGAGTAGATAACGTCATATCCGGTATACAGTGTTGCCAGCGCCAACAAAATGGCAACGCAGCAGTTTCTGTTGCACGAATGGTTAGGCTCTGCCGGAGCAATACAACGGCGTGAAGTTAATGTATTATGCTTACTCGTGTGATTAGTGAGGTAACCAGGGGCTTTTTGAAGTCTGGCAATCCGCAGTTGGGACGTGCGGTAAACTATACCTTAGGACAATAGAATAGGGTATAATAAATACCTTTGCCCAGCAGTTGAATAGATATAAGTGCATACACATAACTATAATAAAAAAGAAACGAAACTATTTTTATTTTTTATTTTAGTACTCCTAGTTTACGTTACTAATTTAATAGCAAGTTCACTGCTCAGTTCAGATTCCACGTGTTGATAATGACATGTCTAAGAATTATTGAAATTAATTGCCCAGCTTACGGTCTTAATGCTTGGACTAATAAAAAACAACGGCGATTAACATCAAGGCTTTAAACGAGTAGTGTAATGGAATAAAACGGTCAAGGATAATTAGGTGCCTGAAAGACCAAATTTTGAACAGTCCTATTTTGAACTTTTGATGCTAGAGATGCAGTTAAAGGGTTCGAAGACCTAGTTTCTTACTTTGTTTTATTCTTAAGGCAACGAAACAATAAACTAAATCATTACAGTTTAAAATAATGACATTACATTACAAAAAAGTCGTTAATACAGTTTGAAAATAAAATTTAACGTACATTCCGTTATTACGGTTTCCATAATTGGGGAAAAAATGGGAGTTTTGATTGTTCAGCTTGCTGGCATTTCAACTGATGTTAAATGATTACCAATGGACATCGATAACACCAGGTGGATTGCAGATGCGTTGCCAATCATTTATTGGTTTAATATCTAGGAAGCAATGGCGACATCTCTCGTTCGAATTGTCGTTGTAAAAACGATATTCAAAATTGTTTGTATGCTGGAAAGGATATAACCATGGATGCGCCAAGCATTGTTTCAAATGTTAAAAAAACAATGTAGATAAAAGACGTTAAGATTTTCGTCGCTGTGGCTATCAGCTGTCTAGCTTAGTGGCTAGAGCGTCAGGCAGCGGTTACTGAATACATGGGCTCGATTCCCACAGCGGCGAAAATCTTTTCGTACTTTTTCTACAAATTTTAATGTTCAATCTTAAGTGAAGAGGTTAGCACCATAAAAATTTAAATTTCTGGTTCAGTGATAAATAAGTCGTAATTACAAGTTTCTCGAGACTTTTCTCCAATTAATATCTGTTCATCGACATTTTTAGTAATGTTGCCTATATATCAAACAAAAAAAATACATAATTTTTTTTTTCTGTACGAGTGGGTAAATATGAACTTGAAGCCTCTATACAGCAAGTGAAACCAACTAATGAAGAACCGTCCAAGAGCGAGTGAGACTCTCGCATAATACTTTACGACATTTTTGCACAACGTTCTCGAGAGAAACTAAGAAAATATCATATCTATTGTATGGGAAACCTACTTAAATATTTTTTATTATGTTGTTTAGTATTTGTTGTTATAGTGGTAACATAAATATGTCAGCTGTGAAAATTTCAACTGGCTAACTATCGCGGTTCGTGAGATACAGACAGTGGAGTCTTAGTAATAGGGCCCCGTTTTACCTTTTGGCTATATAACTCTAAAAACCTACTGATGCACATGCTAGGCCTTCAGATCGCTCACTGAGATCCCAGTGGCTAAACCTTTATTGAAATTTTACCTAATATATCGCAAAAATGGAGATTTAACCGAGTATTTTATATTGCAGCACAGTAATATTTGCGATGGAGGGGATCGGCGTCGTTATGCCCGTCGAAAACGAGATGGCGAAGCCGCAAAAGTTCCTCGGGTGTCCAGGTGTGCTTAACACTGCCATGGTTATTGTCATCACCTTGTACGGAGTAGTTGGCTTCTTCGGTTACGTTCAATACGGTGACGAGGTCAAAGGTAGCGTAACACTCAACCTTCCCCAAGATGAAATGTAAGTTTCAGTTTATGCCTTGATGGTGTCCGTTTCTTAATTGTATATACAAATACTTTTTTAGGAATTCCAGCAAGATAGGTAATCAAATAAAGCACTAAGATATTTCAGTCACTAAACCTGTCACCTGATTGTCGTTCAATGTTTTAAATGTGGCGCTAAACGAGTATTTAAACATTAAATTGATAAAGGAATGCTTCAATGGTTTGTTTTCCCAAATTTAAAATGAGTTACGAAGAACGTGTGGAAAAATCACTAGTAGTAACTACTGATAGTAGTCCTTAGAAATTTAATTTTTTATAGTGCTAATCTCTGCACTTTGATTAAACATTAAAAGTTGTAGAAAAAAGTACGAAAAGTTAGTCGCCGCTGTGGGAATCGAACCCACCCACGTCTTCGAAATTCACGCCCTGGCGCTTTAGCCACTGAGATGAACGGCGGATTGTCACACCGACGAAAATGTTTGTATGCTGGATATAACAATGGATGCGCCAAGCATTCCTTCAAATGCGAAAAACAATGCAGATAAAAGAGTTTAAGATTTTCGTCGGATTTTACCCGATCTGTTTATCCAGAGATCTGGAATGATTATATGTCGGTCAGACAAATACTTATCCCGTGTGGAAATCGAACCCACTTAATGCCATTGGCGTTAAGTCCGCCTTTGTACAGTCTGTGCATAGAGATTAAATAAATAAAAAAATAAACCCACTACTCCCGGTGTCATAGCCAATACCTTAGCAACTGTGCCACCGAATCACTAGCATTGACTCGCTTACGAAATTATATTCGATAAACATTTGTAGTTTTATTTATGTACTGTTAATCGATTTTAATCTTTAAAATTTTTTATTTTCTTCAGTGTGGCCCAGAGTGCGAAGCTTATAATGGCTCTGGTTATTTACTTCTCGTACGCGCTACAGTTCTACGTAGTGATGGAAATGATCACTCGTCTCCTACAAAAGAGATCTTCGACCAAGTACGAGAACGTTATTCAAATCGGTATTCGGACGGCCCTTGTGACTATGAGCGGTAAGTGAGGAAATCGCTGTAGCACGGGATTTAAATCTGTATAATTATGGGTGTAAAATCTTATCGCCCTAAGTTCCTTGTTTGATCTGCAATAAAATCACATCGTACCATAATTATATATCTCTGGTATTAAGATCGTCTAATAAGCGGCCCTAGTGCTGAAATTTTTACTCAAAAAGAGCGGTCCGATTCTTCACGAAATGCTCATAATTTGTCAGTGTGTTTTTCTAATTAATACGTAAATAACATTGGCCGATTATCAAAATTAATTGACCAGTAGTGATCAATTCGTGACCATTTTGTTACCAATTAAAATCCATTGACCTGAATTATAACCTATCTGTAGCTAAAGTCAAAGTATTGACCAATTTCTAAAAATCCCTCAACATTTATGACGATTTTGTGACCAATTCGGACGACTTTTTTAGGCTTCAAATTTCGTCATTTGGATGGGACTTATTTAGCCTGCCTTTGTATTTATGATTTACAAAAAAATGCAATAAATATTAAAATAAATAAATTAAAAGTCCATAAATCATGATAGTTTAAATATTCATGAAAATCAAACCTCAGAACCCTTTTTATTTTCTGTCTAAAACCAATACAACATAGTTTAAAATCGTATCGCAACTGACGACGGTTTAAGCGAATAAAATCTATTTTTGTGCAATCGTATAGTAAAAGAATGAATAAAAATGTATTCTAAATATTTTCAACTTATATGTTCGTTCACGACCAAAGAGAAACAAATTAAATTATAAAGAGAATTTACCGTGCCTTCGGGAATGAAAACAACTTAATTAACGTTTACCTTAGGCAGACTAAATAATAATTACACAGCAGAATTCATAAACAATTGGGTGTAATTATTTTTTTTAAATGTGTTGAACCGACGAAACATTCTATACATTCATTATGAATGAAAGTAACGAAAAATACTTTTCGGCATATTTGATAAAACTGTGACTTTGTAAACTTTCCGCAGTTGCGATAGCCGCCGCCTTCCCAAACTTGGAGCTGGTAATCAGCTTTGTTGGGGCGATCTTCTTCTCGACCCTGGGCTTGCTTGTCCCCGCCGTGGTGGACACTGTCTTTCAATGGGACCGCGGGCTAGGCAGGTTCAATTACATTCTCGTCAAGAATGCAGTTATCGGAATAATATCGATAATCGCCCTTGTATCAGGTTCCTATGTCTCTGTAGTTGGAATGCTTAAAGACCTATCCAGTCAACACATCCATCAAAATGTCACGGTTTAGCGTGGCAAATATTGAAATGTTTTATATTTTGTACATAATAGTAGAGGGTTGTGATATTAGCGTTAGGATTTTTAATGTATGTCAAAAAATTATAAATTGTTACAATTAATATTTCTGGTCTAGTTTTCAACGTCGACGTCTGAATGCATATTATTTGTTGGTCATTTAATGTATTACAAATTAACTGTTGTAACAAATGCTGTACATTTTTTTGCAATATTATAGCAGTAAGCAATAATAACGTATCATAATTTGCATTTGTCAATCAACTATGTTTAACAATAAGCTTTAACTTTTAATTGCAATTAACGAATATAATAACGTAGTTTATGTTAATTTATAAACTAGTAATTTAATAAACTACTCCTTTGTGAGCTTTGTTGTTTTTTTTTTGTAACGTCATCTAGTGTGCAAACTTTACAGTATGAAACACCTTACAAAGTAGGTACCTACATGTTGACAATGTTAATTTGTCTCGAGATACGTCGCCGAATGTTTTTGTTAATTTATCACATTCCATTTTCATCTTGGTGCAAGAGACTGGCCCTAAAAATAAATATTAATCCTTAAAAAAAACATCTCTTCTCATTTTCTTGCAGAAAGTCTAAGAAAGTTTTGTAAAATAGTTTTATTTCTTATAACCTTAAAAAAAGTATGTGTGTAAAGTATAAAGTGCTTATGTACGCACGTAAGAAGTTATACTTCTGTGGCGTAAAAAAATTAAATGCAAAATTGATAACGTGTTATTTAAATAACTTGGAATTATTGCAAATGTCATAATTTTTCCAAACACGCCAAAAGAATTATAACTTCAAAAAGAACAAAATCTTATTTTACATTTTTGAGGCAATACGATTTTCTTAAGGTTATAACTTTTTTAGGTAGTTATATTTATTCCGTACTTGTATTGCCGATGGTTGATTTTATTGATTTTTTTATTTGTATATTTGAGTGACGAGTAATTTCGTATGCAAATAAAAAATCTTTTTTTGAAGTTGTCCGCAGTGAAATTTAATTAAACTCAAGACAAGACAAATTATCATGGATCATTACATAAAAAAAAAAAAATGTAGTTATTTTCTTTCTCGCGCGTTTAGTTGTTGATACAAAACAAGCTTTTATCGATCAACGATGTGATTTAAAGTAACTATTTAAGTCTGCAACGTGACTTAATAATAAACAGCCGCCGTATACGAGTACATACTTGATTTTTGCTTGTCACAAAATTACTGACGCACAGCTTCGTTTGAACCCACGACCCGAAAGAATATGTCAGCGTCCTCAGCACCCACGCATCCATCGTTATTTGAGGCATGTTCATGCATACACAAAATGTTAGCATGCGATTTTATCTATTATATGTACTAAAATTTAAATTGGCTTTGATACTAATTTATCTGTATCTCATTTGCTGTGAGAGAAGAAATAAAATCATACGCAAATGCTCTTAGGGCAGACAAAATATATTAAAAGAACATAAATAACATTTTTTTATAAATAACAAGCTAAACTTCAGTTTTAAAAAATGGAAATAACATAATGTTGCTATCTAATAATATTGCGCTAACGTTTCTCAAGGCTCTTATAAAACCACGTGAATGAGTCAAGTGAGCATTTCAGTTAATTGCTTTTGCAATGCATCTCCTACGTACAAATATTCATGCGAAATGCGAATAAATCTACAAATATAGAGCATTAATATACCATTTATTGCGATAACGTACGATACTTTATCGCAATAATTTATTAATTTAGAATACATTAATGAATTTTCTTTGATTGAAACAATTACTTTCTTCACAACCTAATGCAATAACTGCTCGTACTAAAACAAGCGTAATGAGCTATAATGATAAGTAACGGTATCAAGAGTGACAAAAAACTAAAAATATGTATTGTATGTAATCTAAATTATAATCATTTCCAATTGTCAATTTCCAAATTAAAAAAAAAATATTTAAACATTTAAGGCTTTATTGCACTTTAAATCTTAGAAACGCTCTACTGTTAAAGAGATTTAGATTTTTGGTATTCAACAAAATACATAGCAAATCTCTTACCTACCTTATAAGTAATAAGCGAGAGTATTTATATATATGATATAAACACCTTACCTTGTTCGAGTGTGGAATAAGTAAGAAAGTGAAACATGCTTCCTGAGAAAAAGTGCCTAGGGTATTGAATCCGACCTTTCTAATCTTGAGCAACGCTTATTCTGAGGTAAAAACTATTTTAAATAGATTAGTATATTTTAAGTTAGTGTTTGCAAGTGCAATACATTTAAAGTACAGAATGTTTGAGTATTCATATGATAAAGTCAGTGTTACAAAGTTATTAACTAGGTGGTCTTAAATATTTAATTGTTAATATAGGGACTAGAAAAGTCTTAAATTTTTATATGAAGACTTAGAAATGTCTAATAATACATTGATCCCTGTAAGAATACCAGGTGATGAATTCTTATAACTGATTACGTTAGACTAAAAATCTTCAGACCGCTTCGCAGACAACACCTAGTAGTACAACCTTTCTATGCACTTGAAAAAGATGGCGACAAGAATGCTGCAACTGCGGCCAGGTAAGTACATCCGTCCATAGAATGACATGGAAAACAAGTGGATTTTTTATTAATGAAAAACAACACCATCTTCAAATATCTCACTCTGTATTCATTTTATAATTGATGTTCAGGAGTTACCTAAGTATCTCGGAAGCCCAAGATCCAATACCAATGAAATTAACATGGCACCACATGGAAGCACCAGCTTTCAAATAAAAAAGGAATCATCAAAATCGGTTAACTTGTTGTTAAATATTTGTGTGTAAGTAATTTTATGTTAATGACTAATAACTAACTAACGGTAATGTATTAAATGAAACAACTTTACGGATTATAATAAGCTCCTTCTGCGTGGATCGGAATAAAAATAAACAAAATAATTGACGGTAGCCGGGGTTAACTATGACATCAAGACGTCTAACAACTTAGTCTGTCCCGTGACCATGAACGCTGGAAAGGGTTCGAAACGTCGGGAATTTAAATTAAAATAAAAAACGCGATAAAATCCGTAAAGTAGTTTCATTTAATATGTATAATATTCGCGTAAAATCAAGAAAATAACGGTAATGTGTTGTGTGAAAACTGTTGCGTGGCTCTATCACAGGTAATCACTCACTCACATCTAAAATAGGTATCTCAGTAAGTCGTAAATAGAGTTAATTATCTTGTAACCATTTCAAAAATACTACCCCCGTAGCTTTCCCATAATTTAATTACAATTTGAAAGGACCTTTAAATTGTTCCAAGTTAATTCATTTGCTGGCTTTAACATTTATGAAGATGCCGAATTGACATAAATTTATAATACGATTTTTGACGTATATTGAAGATAACCATTTGTGATAAGGGACTTGCTTAATAAGAAAGGATCGTTATTAAATTTGGATTAACATAAAGTAGTGAAATAATATGAAAATCGTTAGTTCATACTATTTAAGTGGTATACAAATTTAACTATACCACAATTGAGTAAATTATGTGAACATTCTAGCTTGATGTTGTTGTAACTCCGCCTTTAATAAATGGCAAGACTTTGAATCTCTTAATTGCTCGATAAATAAATTGTATGTCATATTGAAATTTATTCACCCGTCTACCTATTACTACTTATACCTGTTATTCGAAAAATGACGTAATATTTAATAATTAATAGATGTGTCCAAAACATAAATTGGATGTCAAACTATAGAGAAACGCAAGAAATTCTTACACTTGAACAAATATAAATTTGAATAACGGAGATATATTTTGAAGAGGGTAAGAACAAACTTTGAAATAACCTTTGTTAAATAATAAACTTGTGGCAATTTTTTTAATAGTTTAATGCTTAATTGGTCACTATGCCTACGATGAACCCAGATGTGTTAAATCATTCTCCTTCCCTGTTGGACCATCTGCTGACCACTATTCCGGATCACCAACTTTCTGTCAATGCCTGTCTTGGCTCGTCAGACCACTGTCTAGTCCGGAGCGTAGTGCGCGCAAAACGCTTACGCGCTCTGCGAGTCTTCGTCGTGTGTTACAGGTCAGCAGACTGGGATGGGATACGTTCTTTTTTTGCATCTTATGCCTGGGGCAAGGTTTGGTTCTTGCTGGATAATTCCAGCGCCGTGGCTGATTCTGTCGCTGATATGGTGCTTCAGCGAATGGAACTTTTTATCCCATTCTCTACGGTTCCCATTGGCGGGAGATCCAATCCCTGGTTTCGTCGCTCCTGCGAGGTCGCATCTCGCCATAAGCAGGAGAATTATTGGGCCTGGACCGTTGCGGTGGCGTCTAGGGATATAAATACCACCCACTTTAAAAAGGAGTACAACTTTGCCTCTAGGTTCTTCAAAATAGCAATCGCATCAGCAAGGTCAGAGCACATCGGCAAAATTAGTTAACTTCCTTCGCGGACTCGTGCATTCTGGTCTCTCGCCAAGGCTGTTCGAGGAAACATATGTACGGCATCTTTTCCATCTCTGCACAGGGGAGATGATTCGTCCACACCGCTGAAAAGAAAGCCGAACTTTTAGGCACCCTCTTCGCATCTAACTCGACACTGGATGATAAGGGGAACACACCGCCGACCATCCCGCGGTGTGAGCACACAATGCCAGAAATAAGGTTTCTGCAGAGCACAGTGCGTAAAGCACTCTTCTCCTTAAACATCCAAAAGTCGAGTGGGCCAGACGGAATCCCTCCCATTGTGTTAAGGCCGTGTGCTCCAGAGTTGGCACCGGTTTTAACGCGCCTTTTCCGGCACTCCTTACTCCAAGACGACTTTAGTGCACCCGACTCCGAAAAAAGGTGATCGTTCAGATCCGTCGAACTATGGGCCTATTGCCCTCACCTCTTTGTTCTCTAAAATAATGGAGTCCATTATAAACTGCCAGCTCCTTAGGTACCTTGAGGAGCACCAGCTCATTAGCGATCGTTAATATGGCTTTCGACG